ACAGCAGCAGCACCACCGACCGGCAAACGCATCAAAACATTCGAGATCTATCGTTACAATCCGGAGAAACCAGGCGCAAAACCCGAAATGCAGGTGAGTCTTTCTCAGCTGTACTGAACTTTAGCCAGTTTAGCATCCGGACAGAAATTGGAGGGCTACATTACAAACATTCGGTGGGAAAAGTACCTAAGTTCAATCTGCTGGACGGGTTTTTTTTTTAAGATAGTGGGAATTCGAGGTTAATTCCGAACTTTCGGAGAACCGGAAGATTTACGAATCTAAAATCTGGATCCTGAAATTCCCATGCTTGTGGGAGCTTTTTAATACTAGCCATTAGTATTTGACAGAGAGGAGTACAACTCATCTGTGATCCCCTTTTGTTCAGAATGAGATTTTCACCTGCGTAAAATGAAGCCTCGTGCCAGTTTTTATTCTGTATCCCCTTGAATCATAGGTAGAGTTGCTGTTAGCTTGTTTGCAAGCAATCTTCGTAAGAAAGAGCCATCGTCATCCTTGTTAGCTTATGGTTATCTTTGACTTTTGCTACCACTCGGGCTACTTCCGAATGCCTCGGCCTCTCGGAGTGAATGCAAAGAGGAGTTTTTCTTTCATCTAAATAGTGAAAATGATGGATAGGAGTCGCAGAATTATTTGGCTAGCGAACACACGTTTTGCGTTAGTTTTTTTAGAAATTTGATGTGGATTTGGATGATTGTGGTGCAATGATTCTGGATGCACTGATCAAAATCAAGAACGAAGTGGATCCCACGCTCACATTCCGACGCTCATGCCGTGAAGGTAAATATATTGGGAGTGTACGCGTGTGTGTGTGTGTGATGTGTGTGTGTATATATATATATATATATGTTTTGTGTGTATAAGTCCAGATCTCCTCTTGAAAGGATTATTGCGAGTGTGTATGGGTGTACGTATATGTGTGTGTGTGTGCACGTGTGTGCATGTGTATGCGTGTGTGTATGTGTGTATGCGTGTGTGTACGTACGTGCGCGCTTGGGTGTGTGTGCGTGTGTGTGTGTGTGTATGTATGTATGTATGTATGTATCCAGATCTTCTCTTGAAACGGATATTGGAGAAAATAATACCATTCCGTTTACCAGTTGTGAAATCGTACTGCGTCTGCTGAAATATGCTGTTTTTAAACATTTTGGCCCTAAATTTAGCATTTTGAAGTTTTTGGGGGTTTTTTTTTGTTTTTTAGCTCTAAATTTAGCTTTTTTAGAATTCTTAATGAATCCTCAATATCTTCTTTCAGGTTGGCAGAACTTGAGATTTGACAACATTTCAGTAATACTGAAGGTTCTCTGCAAATACTAGTCGTTCTTGGTAATAGTTTATTTTAAATGCAAAATCCTGAATATTCCAGGTATTTGTGGATCGTGTGCGATGAACATTAATGGCGAGAATACGCTGGCATGTATCTGTAAAATCGACGAAAATACGAGC